TCCCCCCCCCCCCCCCTCCCCCCCCCCCCCCCCCCCCCCCCCCTCCCTCTTTGGACCTGGTTCTATCGTCTTCCGCCTCCCGTCTGGGACGTTTAAGGGGGAAAATAAGTCTCCACCCAGAATGAGACCTTTTCATCTTTTACTTTCTCCGCAGAATTCGGGCAATTAACAAATAATACCCGGAAAACACAGCGTATCGACGGTTCCCGACATGCAAAGGGACGAACGACCAACATCGGCATTCGCATCTTGCAGGCTCTCTAAGAGTCTCAGAGATGGAACGAACACGTTCGGATTGAGAAAGCGTCTTCGAGTGCATTCACACCCGTTCTTCATCTGTCGTTTCATCCTCTATCCGCATTTATATCTTGCGGTGTGATCCGATGCGGAGGATTCATTATCAATTCTTCCATTCATAAGAAAGAAACGGCTTCTGAGAGTCAATTACTAATTAGCACGCATTAATATGCGCTTAAAATGCAAAAAAAAATTAAATATGGATGAAAGTGAAAAATACGCAAAAATCTGCTTTTTAAAAGACAAAATGTTTTTGGTAGAAGGAATTCATCACAAAGTTTCACTTTCCCTACTGGTGAAAGAAGAAGCTTGAAGAAAGGACATTCCTGCTTGGAAAACTTTATTATTCTTGCTTGTTGGCAGTAAGTTCCAAGGGGAAATATTCCTTAGAAGTGCAAAATGTGCATAGTCTGAAAAAAAAGTCGCATTCTAAAGCGTTTGAATTGGCGAGCTGTAAACTGGGAACGCTTTTTCTGCGTGGAGCTCACGTGTGCAACGGGACGTAACTCCAATTTATCGCCAAAAGAAATGAATTAAACAAGGAGTTAAGCGGTCTTTAAATCCAGTTAACAGTTAACAAAATCCAGTTAACACTTTTGCGTACCATGAAATCGATTAAAGTTGAAGTGGCTCAGACGGAAAAAGGAATTGTGGCGAATGGCGCTATCTTCTTCCTCGGACATTCCACGAGATTTCTCCATTGACTCGACGGATGATCTTCAAAACGATTTTCTACTAATCTCTAGGAGTTTAAAACCCACGTTTTTGTCGAGATCTTTCCAGAGGAGTTCGTCCTTCAAAATAATTTGCGCGTCTAGAAAACTCGGTGAATTTCAGAGCTCGAGAATTTTCATAATCGAATGCTTCTTCCATATCGAACATGCAGAGAGAGACTGTTTTTACCTTTTCCTTTTTTTTTATCCTTTTTTTCTTTGCCAGAAGGATTTTTCGAGGCCAAGAATGATATAAAGTAAGTAATCGATGGTCTGAAGTTTCCACTTGGAGCATCCAGAAAGATCCATACCAAATTTGGCATTTGCCGTCACAGGATAAATCGCCAACATTTAACCCTTGACGCGATACGTTTTATCACGAGGTACTAATCCAAAAAGGCTTTCTGTCGTGGGATATGACTTAAGCCCATGAAAGCACAACTGATAGAAAAATCATTCTAGCAGCACTTAATACAGAGGCAATGGGAGTCAAAACCTCAAGTTTAAAGCAGTTTCCCGTTGTAGTGAATTCTATACGAAACCGGAAGATAATATCCCACTCATATGAACCTCACTGAGGCCCACGATTCCCTAGAAAATCCTTGCATTGGGCGAGTGGCTTCCAGGGAAACCTCTTAACAAGGTAAAGTTTGAGGATTTAACTACGTTTTCGCACACCCCTAAACACTGTCGCATTTATAACATTTTACTTCGGCTGGAAGCTCCCTTTATCACTGTCGTGGTTCTCAGGTTTTAAGAAATTGGGAGGAGCACCACAAGAAGGATTATACAATTCCGTGAAGACACGACTTTGTTCCATTCTCCTCCTAATGTGCGACTCCCCCCCCCCTGCCATGGGCGGTGCCATATTTAAAACGCACCATCTAGTGTTAGTGCACCCAGCGAATATTCGTTATACCCCCACGTTACAAGTTGAAAAGATTTATTCTATCAACCCCACACGTGGCAACCCCCTAGAAGGGGGTTAGAACACTTGGTGCGGAAAAAAAGGTCTCTCTCCCTCTTGTGGGACTCGAGACCTAGCCTCCCCGAATCTTCGGGCAGGTTCTGCAACTGCAGGAAAACACAGTTTAAGCCATAACCGCGAAATAAGGATGATCGACAAAAGGAATCGCCCAAACCTAACCCCACGAGACGGCATAGGTAGTTCAAGAACCGATTAATCATTAACATTGGGATTACAGCAACGCACTCAGACGTGCCGCACGAAAAGAGTTGGGGTAATCCCACATTTAACATGGGGCCCGAGAGCACTTGGGTCGCCATTAGAAAGGCATCTCGAGGCGTTTGTATCAAGAGGATGGAGAGATAAATTTGTACTGTTAGAAAAACTAATACCCAAGCCAGGGTCGACCAACGTCAGACCAAGGTCTGAGGTACGAAAGAACTATAGTCATGAGAAAAGTGAGGAAACCAAAACGGAAATTGCTCCATAGGAACGTTTCATTCATTCATAAGCACCGGAGAACAACATAAAATCAGGAATCCATCATGCAATCAGTATCCATATCCGCCATAGCCGCCAAAGCCGCCATATCCACCATAGCCACCATACCCACCATATCTGCCGTATCCACCATAGCCACCAGGATAGCCGTAACCGTAGCTAACGGGATAGCCGTATCCTCCGTAAAAGGCTTCCGCCAGGGACAAGAGGACCGCCAACAGAACGAGAGTCTACAAGCAAAGCATTGTATATTTCATTTTCACGCAATGTATTATATATAATGATATATATTGAATGATATAGAAAAGAAACTCACAATAAAGAAGGTCTTCATGGTGAAGAAGCCGAGACCTGAGAGAAGCGGACAGATAAGCGAACCAAGCAACGGGTGTTGTTCCACTGCTTCATTCTCGATTCTGCCCTCCTTTTATGTGACCCTCGGCTAGTTTTCCCCCCCCCCCCCCTCCCCCTCCCCCTTCCTCTGCCAGGTCACACAGACGACCTTGAGCTCTCCTTCGCATCGCCTTAGGGGATTTTCCTGCTCCTCTTTTGCCTCCTGTCTCAGATTTTCGAGGAAAAACAGGGACCCATTCCCCGACCAGAATTCCGTCCAAAGCGGCGAAACCCGAACACCTTCATCGAGTCGAACGCACGGAAAAGTCTCATTTCGTCTTTCTAGGCACCCTTTGCGGCAAATCTCATTCTTTTTTTTTTCCATCTCAACGTATGGCAGATAAAACCACGAAAGGTTCTGGGCGACCGTGCAATTCTGTGACCGAGACGAGGGACGAGATCGTTCCAGTACCGAAAGTTGTATGCCTTGTAATTAGGTTGAGGTTATGGAGTAGGTACCTCGAATGGATTTATTTATTCTCATGATGTGCATCAGGATTCTTGCCCGATTGCCTTCTCGAGCAATCATAACAGTTGTCGATATATTTTCCAGCATTCGCAGTCGAATTCCTTCCAAGATGCGAAACCTCGCGGCCGTTCGACTCGAGCCGCTCCCGTCACTACGATGCTCGAACGTTGGTCATCGGTTGGCCATTATTAAGTTATTCTTCGCAGACTAGAGGACGCCTGCTAAACTCGATCGCGGTAAAATAACTCCTTCACGAGCAAAATTCTGTCGATGCTATAGGCACGCTCACGATTTTCGTGGGACCGAAACTTAGTAGAAGCGCGCATCGCGCAAGGTTTCCGTACGAATTTCCACGAAAGCGCTCTCCCTTTTTTTCATGATCGCCTTTCCCAAATACGATTGTCCCAAAATTGGGAGGGAGAGGGGAAGGGGGATGAAGTCTTAAGTATTTGGCCGTGGATCGACCCGATTCGCGTCCCCCCTCGTTTGAAGCTGCAGCGATTTCCTGGAGAGTGAGCCTTTCCACGACGCAGGTCGAGATGGAAGGTTCGGATGGGGACGCGAAGAGGCCGAGAGCCCGAGCAACACGTCTCGTTTCGAGGTCCATCCTTCGTATATATATTTTTGTCAACGCGAGGGACCGGTGAAGCACCGGTGAACCGCTCGAACGAAGAAGGATCCCAAAAACCGTCGCGAGATCGCTTGGAAATCGTCTCCGCAGCGAGTCGCTCCCCGATCCTTCCGCACGGAGTTCCCCCATGCCTCTGGTACTTCCTCCCGATCCTTTCCCGCGAAGTCGCGAGGGGAAGGAGGAAAGGCGATGCAATAATTCCTGGGAGGCAACCCCCTTCCTTTCGTCCTCGGAGGCAACCCAACCCGGAGATACTCGAGGCGATTGCAGTCGAGAAGCCCGAGAGAGGATGCTTCACATTCTGGACACAGACATTCATGAAACGAGTCGCATCTCGACGGTTCTAGAAACGCGGAATGGTAGGGTAAACAGGGGAGTAGTGGACCACCCGATGGTAGTGGAACACTTCCTAAGGTTTTATTCCTATAAGAGGCAGAAAAAACTTGAGTAGCAATCTTCCCTGACGTGAACATTAAGAAGTAATGTTCCCCTGAAGGAACAACAGAAAGCCAGCACCATCTAGGATTCTTTGTGGTTACTAAATTGTCTCTAAGTGTTTGCAAAAGTTTTCCCTTAATGCTAACATGAGGGAAGATTGCAACTGAAACTTTTTCAGCATCTTATAGAAATAAAAACTTAGGAGTGGTCCACTACTATCGGATGGTCCACTACTCCCCTGTTTACCCCACTTTCTCCTCGACCGCGCGAATACGCAAAGCGAGTGAGAAATCCATCGAAACGACGTTAGAGGTCATGATATATTTTTGTTCACGTGGAAATTCGTGCCGAACGATGAATAGATCTCCCCGAACCGCATGTGCCATTTAATCCTTTTACAGATATTCGTTCCACGCTTTGTGGAAGTCCGTTTATCATCGGCTTATTTTCGGGGCACGTGCAGATCCAAGAGATCGAGCCGCGGTCGACTCCGATGAAAAGGCCGACCGGCCGACCGGCCGACCTCAGCCCCCGAACCGTATGCCATCTCCGAGCCGACCATCTGCCGGCCACGGCGAATATAGTTCATCCGCTTATAGAGATATTTTCCGAGGGAGAATTTCCACCTTTCCCCCTTCTCGTCCACGGAAGCACGAAAAAGATTTAAAAATCCGGTCGAGAAAAGGGCAGGGTCGACGGGCAGGGTCGACGGGCAGGGTCGACCCCATCGCTCCGCGCATTCCCCGCCTTTTTCTACCCTACAATCGAAGTGATTCCTCGTCACCCGCGTCTCCTTCGCATGATTAAAAAATCCCTCGAGGTTCCAAGGACTCGAACCGGTTTCCTCTCGTTCTGCTCTCGCCATCGAGTTGGAAAAACCCGGCACGCTCCACGTCATCGATTTCCCTTAACGACGAGTGGAAGCCCGGATGAAGCTTCCCCCTCGTTAGCCTTCTCTCGGGCCGAGTCCGGACGTTTCTAAACGTTTCTCGCACGGAAGTCCTCGTTCTCCCTCGATTTTCGCGGCCCGAATCCTCTCGAGCGCCGTCGGATCGCTTTTCCGGGCGATAACGAACCGCTCTAAAAGAGGTCTCTCGAGTCGCGTTTCGAAGGAAGAACGACGCACGAGCTCTCGGGCGACGGAACGTCGGATCCTGCCGAAAATCCTACGCGATCCGGCTACAGCCATCGAGAAGCGGATTCCCGATTCGAAGCGATCCCAGCGTCTCTCCGTCTGCCTCCTCCGGTTTATCGTCGTGGAACCATCGCGGTCGTCTCGTCGTGGAATCCATCTCGATTCCCATCCAAGGCAGTCCGGAGGACTCACGCACCTGGCAGCTCCCAGAGGTCTCGGGTACCTCGACGCGCGAACGCGCACGTAGGAACACCCCTCGCCTTACCAAATTTCAAAAACTCTCCTTTTCGCTATTTTCTCGCAATCGACGAACACGAGGCTCGTTCTCGGCCGCATTTCGTTCGAGGAAGTCGAGTCGGAGAATCGGATTCTGCAGACTCCACTCCCATTCCACGTCTCTACGCTACGAGATACGAGATCGACATTCGTATCGAATCGATATCGCCCGATCGAAGAAACTCGATCCTGCTCGAGTCGGTCTTCGTGCGATAAAGACGCGCGCAGTTGTCGAAAAAATTCTGCAATCACGAGAGTTAATCGAGATAAATCCTCTCAGATTCTCTTCTTTTTTTGCGGTTGGATATTTCGGAACTCTGCGGAAAGTAATGGGTGGAGCCCTATTTCTCGTATCGTCTCGAGTCGGATGACACGGAACGATGCACGAATGGCTCCACTTCGACCCATTGCCCCCCGCAATACGAAAGAGACTAGAAACTCCTCAGATACTCGACTGGATTTGCTGCCGTAGGGCAAGCGAGGTGTTGGGCAACGTTAACCCCCCCTACCCCCTTACCCCCCTCCCCTCCTCGTAGGACATGATCCATGCAACCTTCCCCTGCACCGCCTGGAACGTCAAGTTCGAGCTCGGTCGTGCCGAAACGCGGCATCGGCAACGTAAGAATGAGTCCTTGCATGCTGGGAGTAGGATCCTCGATCGGCTGACGGTATCGCTCCGTCGCCACGATCTCATTACATCACACGAGGTCTTCGATCTCTTACGTTCCTTACAGTTAAAAAGGGTTTCCCGATTGCTCTGCATCCCTCAAACCCGAGGTCATACGGATTCCGACTCGTAGCGTGCGTCGGACCATCGATCGAAGCGGTGGGATCAGTGGGGCGGGGAGAACGATAAGCCACGATTGCGTCAGTGACCTTGCCTGGTACAAAGATATCGAGTTAGAACCGTTTTCGGCCCGTGAAGGATAAAAACGTTCTCGGCAAGGACCGACTTTCCCCCACGTTTCTCCAGCCACTTTGCAGAACGACCTCGCTTCGACACGAAATTTCAGGCGATGCAAAGGAAAACTCGGGTTCATCTCGTGCTCGAATGGAAAAGTGAAATGGTGATTCTGCCAAGGTGGATCCAAAAATTCTCCCTCGTGCCGTGTCCGCATTCGCCTGGGGCGAATCCGGATCACGCAACGTCTCTAATGATGAAGAAAATCGACAAAAAGACGCGATGAAGCGAATTTAAAGCGTCGGGAGCAACCGGACCGCGTGAATAGCTTTCGGCCGTTTAAATGGAGTTTATTTTACATCTGCAACCCTGCCGTTCCTGCCGTCCGTATCTGTATCGTGGGAGACGCGTCTCGGGACCGTGTGCAACGATAAACGACGGGGATCTCGCCCCCGGGGAGTAGTCCGCCTGCGAAAGCCTCTTCGGGAACGAGGATAGATAAGAGAAGAGGATGAAGAACCGAGAGAAATTTCTAGAAAATCGCTTTTAGCCTTATCGATGGGAAGAGTTTCTCTCGACTCCGAAACGCCGAGAGATACCGTGCTCGCCGAAACGGATCCATGGAGACGGGACTCCTGGGACGGACTGGACATGCGTCTCCAAATATGAGAACCGAATGTATTCCTAGGAATGTATTCCTCCTTCCTGGAATTAAAGCTCATCGTTCGAACGGTAAAAGCCTACGGATACGAAGATGCACGGAACGCGATCCCCGAGAAACGGATGACCCGACCCGAAACGAGGATGCACTCACCCGAAATGAGGATGCACTGATCGCGATCCTCCTCTCTGAGGGAGCGGTAGGCATTGTCCGTCACGGCGAACCTAGAGGAGAAGGAATCCAGATCGAGACCGGGTCCGTCGCCGACGGTTTAAGAGGTGAAAAAATGCGGACTGACAGGTGCGGAGGAGCCTCGAAGAGATTGACGTCTTGGTAGACTCCGATCGTCTTCTCCGAGTAGATCCCCAGCTCCTTGTAGGGATTCACGGACACCAGCACGTTACGCCCTTCCCCTTTCTTCCTCCCTTTTATTTAGATATCTCTTTTTTTTTATTTGGATCGCCCTCGAACGGTTTCCTGCGGATGCGGCTCCGTCCTCTTTCCTCTCCAGTCTGGAAAAATTTAATAAAAATCTGTCTGGTTTTTGCTTCTTTTTTCCCCCGTACCGACATCGTGGCACGAAGACGGCGGGAATTTCGGCACGTCGGCTTCTCTTCGCATGCAAAGGGACGGATATTCGCATTCCGCGAGAGCGGCGCACTTCCCTAATCGTTCGCACTTTCTCATACGGGACCGAACGGATCCTCCTTCCCCTCTTGGTTCTTACCCAACGCCGACGGAAAAGTAGAGGGAAACTTCCTTTCTTCCCCTCGTTCGAGAGGTTTCTCCCTTTCCTCCTCCGCCGATTCCGACTCGTGGCACGGGCGATTGGCTCCCCCATTCCACCGTCCATGCAACTGCGGATCGCGTTTTTTTCCCTTAACTTTTGTCGCGACTACTCGGGCGACGAATCTGCGCCATCGGCTCGCTTCAGGTTTCCAGCATCGCAACCCGTCGGGAGCAAGCATCGTGCACAAGCCAAATAGATGCTTGCAATTCCATATTCTTCTTCGTTATTCCATAATGCGAATCAGAGTGAAGTCCGCCCAAACTCGACAGAGTTGTGCCCAACTTATATATTTTTTGTTTGGGGTGGACTCGATTTGAAGCAACTATTCCGATTTTCGGACGAAACAATGTATATTCGCACTACATATTGGCCCATACTTTATTACCCTCTTTTCCCGAAGAAAACCTTTATGAAGCAAAGTGAAAACAATTTTCCCTTTTTCCCTTCAAAAATGATGAAGGTATGGTAGTTGTCGAGTGGCAATATAAGGTGACCCTTCGTGTCCGTGTTGCCTACTTCTTTTGATCGAAGTCTAGTCATTTTCTAGGAAGAAAATGAAGCACGACTTTCGGCGCAATCCTTCACAAAGAAACCCCTACTTCTGCTCTAACCTATTTTAAAGGAAGCCTTTAAGGAGGAAGTTCCAGATTAATACATCTTAAAAAGCCATTGGAGTAAATTAGCGATTTTCTCTTTTCGATCTCGGAAAAAAAAGACTGTTGGGAATATTCAACCCGCTTGTGAAGTGTTCAAAACAAGTGAGCAGAATTTGATCTATAGGAACGTTTCATTCATAAGCACCGGAGAACAAGATAAAAACCAGAATTCAAATGCAATCATTCACTAGTATCCACCGTAGCCGCCTCCGTAACCACCGTAGCCGCCGTATCCACCATATGGTGCATATCCACCGAATCCTCCATAACCGCCATATCCACCGTAACCTCCGTATCCCCCATACCCACCGTATCCTCCGTAACCTCTTCCATATCCTCCGTAATAGGCTTCCGCCAGGGACAAGAGAACGGCCAACAGAACGAGAGTCTACAAGCAAAGCATAGTAACTTTCACTTCCATGCAATAAGATCACTCGATGCAATGATATGGGGAAAGACACTCACGACGAAGAAGGTCTTCATGGTGGAGAAGCTGAGAAGAGGGAGAGCAGCGAACAGAGAAGCAAAGCAAGCAACGGCTGTTGTTCCACTGGTGGATTTTCGCCTCTGCCCTCCTTTTTATGAGACTCTCGGACAAGTTTTCCTCCCCCTTTCCCAGGTCACACAGTCGACCCTCAACGAGCTTCCCTCTCCCCCCCCCCCCCCCCTAAGTCACCTCGAGGACGACCTTGAGGTCTCCTTCGTTAGCTAGATAAAGAAATTCCGTCTCTAGTCGACTTTCCTGCAGTCGCTAAACCGAGACGCGCAGGAAATATCGGAAGAACGTCTATAGCGTATTACCATGCCAAGCATCACGTTCGGCCTGACCCGGTCTCGCATGTTGTCATGGGATTCAATCTTCCCGTCTCTCTCGTCTGTTCCCTGGGTAAAAAGTCGCAAAAATCTTAAATGAAACGCGTGCTGATGCCGATAGCCGATATGATCATAGACCCTTGAGTGATGAGAACGACGAACGCTTTTCACGCCAACCGAGAAGAAACGCGAGCTCTGACGAGAAGTCGAGTGTCGAAAACCGGGGCCGTGCGGTAGTCTCGAACCCGTCATCTGGACTGTACACAGTCGGCGCCGTTGCACTCTCGACTCGGATTGACCGCAGCAGGATCAAATGTCAACATTTTTTGCAATATAAAAACTAATTCTAACCGAGGAGATCGAGGACTTTTGAATAATATATCGCACAGGGATTTGGGTCCAAAATTAGAATGTCGTCCTGGTCGGGTCAAAGAAAAACTCGGAATAATAAAATTCTAAAATGAGTTTGCTCATCTAAAAAAAATATTTGAAAATGAATGAGTTATTGCTGATGAAAATCGATGGAGAAACCTGGGAGTTCACCGGACAAAATCCGGTCATACAGACTTCTACAAGTCGTCGTGTGTAATTTGAGATAATCCCTTTTTGCGTCTGCTCGTGCGGGGAAAGGATGAATCACTTTCGTGCGACGCGTGATTGTTGGGCAAGAAGTCATCTTTTATTGTGGGGAATGAGGGGCCATTGCGCTGGCGTTTCGTCGGGCGTGTCGACTGTGTCGCGGAGATGTGCGTGAAACGTCCTTCCACGAACGGCAATCGCACGAAACGATCGATCGTACGTGCTTCCCGAAAGGACGGCGCGCTTCCAAAGGTCTCGAGTATTCACGATGGAAAGAGGCGAGAAACGACATAAGACATAAATAATACATTTATTTGGAGAAACGACATAAGACATTTTCAGACATAAAATCGAGCGCAAAACCGTTACTCGGTTCCGTCTGAAGCTATTCGTTTCGCGGAGTTGGGATAAATCCACCCGGTAAGAGGTTACTTGCGTGTCCGCTGCCGGTGTCCGAGGGAAATATCTGCAGACTCATTCACGAGGATCTCAAAATGCAAGGAAAAGACGATATCGAAGTCCATGTCCTTAGCCCAAATCACGTCAGGGATAGGAAAAGGAATGCTCGAAAACGATGCGAGCGCCACCCGGTTGGTGAAAGGTACAAGAATGATTTTTGACGCTCGATGAAACTTTCTTCTACCTTTCTGTTTGCGGAAAGAATCTATTCGCTGCCAAAAACAGGGTTTTCGTTACGTAAAAAGAGTTGGATTTCTGTGCGTTTGGATTCTTTCAGCGTGCCATTGTGAATCGGCGCCGCAAAACTTTTGGGCGGGACTTTCGAAAGTCATCGATGAATGAGAGAAATTTTGCATCTCTGTGCTTCGTGAAGCTCTGGTGCAGTAGAAATTAAGGTGCAGGGCTCTTCTTCAGAATCGAGAAGATGGAACATGATAGTTTCTGAAAGATGTAGTAAGATGGTATAATATTCCGAATAAAAGAAAAAGGCCAAATAAAGGTGGGACAGTCTCTATTCTTGACTTACGTGGCAAGATTTATTCTTCCTGGGATAAGCGGTGATAAACGCGAAAAATACGAAAATGTAGCGAAGAACTTATATTTACGGCTTTTTTCTTATAAAGCAAAAGAAAGCAGTGATGAAGTATCAGTGGTGTAGGCAGAAAATCGGCAAGGGGGGGAGGGGGGGGGGGGG